TGGAGGCTCATTGTCGGCGCCCGCCCGGCTGGCCCGCCGCCGGCCCGCCCCAGACCCCGCAAGGCCAATCGCGCGTGGCTCCGCCTCAGCTCCGCCCCGGGCACGCGGCTCCATTAAATCCCGGACCCGCAAAGCTGCGGGGAGGGTCGTGTGGACTCACCGCGGTGCTCCATCGCGGAGGTGTCTTTCTCCCGCTGGCGGAGAAGCCCCCCAGATTCCCCTGAGTGTGAGCGCCACGAGGCGCCGGGACGAGCCCCAGGGGGCGCCCTCCACCGGGAAGTAGTCGGGCTTCCTGTTGCCAGTTCCCAGGATTTTGATCGGGGTCGCCTTTGCTTTTCAGTGGACAATCCTTCCTCCCGCAGCAGATGCCCTGGGCGGGAAAAGAACCGGTTAGGGAGTGGAAAGGGCCTTAGCGTGGAAGAGCAGAGACTGAATACCTTCTTTGCCAGCTCTGTGACCTTGGGCACGTTATCACTTTTCTTAGAGTAGTTCATGCTTTCTTTCAAAAAACCATTTGGACCGTTCTGAACAAAAGAATGCAAAGATGAACAGAACGGAGCGGAGTGTTGGGCGCACGTAAACCAGCCCCGACGGTTATGATTTCCATTTTTTAAACGTGAATCCGGAGATTTTGTGACTCCAAGGACACTCAGCAATCTCTTGAGAACCCCAAGACCAGAGTCCATGACACTGCTGCATCATAATCATACTCTGGGTGAGCTTTTGCCTCTGTGACATAGAACGGGCATCTCTTTCTTCTGTAGGAACCCTCATGAGATTTCAGTGGAGAAAATGCAAAATGTCTGACACTGAAAACCCGTCTTCATATGTTGTTATATCAGACCAGACTCGGTAGTAATTAAGAATCGTGTAGTAGGATGGAGGCGGGAGAGGAGGTGTGTAGTGGTCTATATGGATTACAGTATTTTTTAAGGGGGTTATATTTGCAGGTGTATCCAGTACTTTAAAGGTTTTACAAATAAAGGTCTTAACGAGCCTGTTTAATTTATTCTTAATGGTTCTTTCCTACTATTTGCCTCAGACGCCTTCCTTGCCCCTCTGCTCTGTTCTGTGTTGACTGAGCGGACCGACCCCCTGCAGGGGACAATTTCTCAGTCATCCAGAACATCTGGCGTCAGATCTGGGTTTGGCCATAGGGAGGCTGTGGCCTTTTTTGTTCTCTTTCTCCCTTGGTCAAGCAGGTCTCCAGCCCAGATGGGGCTTCTCCATGGCTCCATCTCCTACTGGATAGGTAACTCTGGCCCCAATTTCTGCAGGGTGATGCATGTCCCTGGGCTCCATGAATTCCACCTCCTCTTTTTGTCCCTCCAGTTTAGGGTGATGAGCAGCTTTGTGTTTTTGCTAATCTCTGGGCTGCCTCACTCTCCCCTATATTAGGCTTCACAGCCTTTCCTTTACCCTTATCAATTGTGTCACCAAAACCCTGCATTACATTCTTTCTGTTTTAAATACTTAGAGGGGTTCCTGTTTTTCTAATTGAACCTTGAGTGATACACCCAGTATTGTACCGGACACTTAGTAGACATTATTTCTTAGTCCTCACAACTCTTTTGCAGTAGATAGTATTTTTCCTAGTTTAAAGAGCAAGAAGTTGAGCTTAAAGGGTTAGATTACTTGCCCAAGGTAGTAATACTAATAATAGTCCTATTTCATGAAATCTAGGATGAACATTTCCCCCCATATTATAATGTCCCTGAAATGGATATGCTTCCCATAACCAACATCAATGTGAAATGAAAGCTGGCCCTGCTAATATTCAGACTACACTGTTACCAGCAGAACATCCATGTTTAAAATGAGACCTAGACAAGACACTGCATGACTGCAAAAATGACTTCATCTTTCTCTGAGCGATTGGTGCTTCTTTATCAAAAATTACTCTAGTCCTGTGTTCATCCTCCTGCCTCTCAGATAAACATTATAAAGATACCCAGTCTCTGAACAGCCCCTGTTTCCCTCTTTCTTTCTTTTTCTTTTCTTTTGTTTCTTCTCTCTCCCTCTCTCTTTCTCTCCCCGCCCCCTGCCCCATTTCCTTTTCTTTCTCCTTTCCTTGTTTTCTGAGACGGAATTTTGTTGCCCTGGGCCGAGTGCTATGGCATCAGAATTTTGTTGCCCTGGGTCAAGTGCTATGGCGTCATCGTGGCTTACAGCAACCTCAAACTCTTGGGCTCAAGCTATCCTCTTCTCTCAGCCTCCCAAGTAGCTGGGACTACAGGCATATGCCATTGTGCCCAGCTAGTTTTTCTTTCTTTTTTTTTTTTTTTTTGAGACAGAGCCTCAAGCTATCCCCTTGGGGATAGCCATGGCATCACAACTCACAGCAACCTCCAACTCCTGGGCTCAAG